TTTTTTTTTTTTATAAAATATATACATATAATATACGTATGTACATTAGGAAATAGAAATATTAAATTGTATACAAGTAATAAAATTACAATTACTCAAATCACCGTGTATAGTAAATTATTAATAGTTATATGGAACTACTATTCTATTATTATATACGTGAAATTGTTTGAAAGTTATAACAATTTTAGTTTCTCAAATGTGATTATTAATTCTGTTGTTGGATGGAAATTACAAGTACCTACCAGATATAAACATAATGATCAGTCATTCTTCAGAATTACAAAGATCGATTAATGAAATATGTTTTGACATATACATTTTTCGAGTATTTAAAAAATTGTATGATTATGCAAATAAACGTAAAATTCTGTAAGATTGGCGAAGTGTGATATAATCACATATGGCGTTATAACCAATTCAAAAGCCGGGCACTGCGTATATGATCATAATACCATATCACACTTACAAAAGCGTATAACACGTACATAAGTATGTAAATGTATGTATGACGTACGTATGTACATTGTACATTGTGTATATTATGTACCGAGGGTTACGTTGAACTCTATTAATCTGGATTAACTCTGTCTACAAAAGCATTCACTTCTGAGTCGCCATCTCTTACACGGTTTCCACTGTACACGCGCTCGTCACTTTCCCCCCACCCATATATGTCCATCGTACCACGCTGACGACGAAAACTGCGTCGTTACAATATAACAACCATATATATAAGTGTACTATATAGTTTGTGTTTTAGTTGAGTTTAATCTCTCCTATACAGTTGATCAATTATACACAACCAAGGCAGTTAAAAAACGCGGACATTAGGACTTAAATGCATTGTATAATGCGCACAGTTGATAGTGAGTCTAAGGTATCAAGGGAAATCTCAACTACGGTAGTAGTATTCCATATTCCACGGTGTACAGCTCATATCATTGTACGTTCGTATATAACGGTAGTCTGTACAGAGGAAGTGTGTATAATATGATGTGAACCGCAATTTCGTCCTGCTTCAAAAACACTTTGGCTGATGCATTTCGATTCTCGGGCGCCATCTCTCGCACGGTTTTTACTGTGCACGTAACACGTTACTTTCTTCTTTGTCATCGATGTCCATTAATACATTTGTCCATCGTACCACGCTGACGACGAAAACTATAACGTTGCAATGWAACATGTAACAACCATTTACCTAATATGCGTTTTAGTTGAATTTAATCTCTTGCGCCACTGAAGCATACAAATTTAGGGTGGCTAAAAAAAACGGGAGGATTAGTCTTTTAATGCATTATATAACGCGCAATACAGTTAACAGTGAGTCAAAGGCATTTGGACAAATCTCAACAACTACGGTGTACAGCACATACTATGCATTTGCTTGTAACTTTGGAGAGGAAGTGAATATAATATTATGACGTGTATCACACTATCGTCCTGTTGCTATAGATTTTGATGTACACGGCGAGCAAGAGGTGGGTGAACTATAAGCACGGGGGACAGTCAATCAAACGTCATAGGCCTTTGTGAACACACACACACATAATATACTGATCGATATTGTAYACATATATTGCATGAAAACTAAAGGGTCGAGTCTAAAGCCCCCATCTCTCTGATCCTGCCCGTCGTCATCCCCCAGGTCGCGATTTGACATGAACATTCCATTATCTCGGTCAACATTGCCAAATACCACATATACAGCTTCGTTCATTCGATGCAGTGGTGGCCACCGCCGCTGTGGAGATTTATTCCCCCGGGGGCGCACCTCTCCCTTAACAGTGTGGAGTCACTCTCCCCCTGTGTTATTGCGTAAATTTTGATATCAGTCCTCTTCTAAAATAATTTTTTCTATGCATATATATATAATATGTATATAGCATATAWGTGTATTTAAAGTTTAGGTACATGATGAAGGTACATAATATTATCGAATATAGATGGGCCAATAGCGCTGTTATAAACTCATAATTATTATCAGAGAATACAAAGATAAAAACCAAGTGACTACAAAAATGACTCAACTACAATTTTCTATCTATAAAAGCAAAATTAACCGATAAGAAATATGTAGAATTTATTAATGTATTTTGTTAATTATTTGTATGCTCAAAATGTAAATCAATAGCTCTTCAAAAGAATTATTTTTTCCAAGTATAAAGAATTATTGATATTTCTCTCTCCCACTCTACTCAGTTTGTTATACTTGACCCACTGAAGTATATATGTATAGAAAATGTACAAATGTATGTATGTCAGTGATTTGATTAATGTGATTTTCATGGTTTTTTTTTTTTAAGTTTTTGGTCAACCAGGAACAAGACATGTAGTGTAATGATATATACTGACCGGATTTAATGTCAACTCCATTGAATACAGAAATAATGGTTCAATATAATATATATATACYATACATAATTTGATAAAATTTTGTACACAATTGTCACATCAATACGTAAAATT